GGCCCGTGGCTCACTCGGGAGAGTGCGGTGCTGATAACACCAAGGCCACGGGTTCGGATCCTATATAGGGATGACCGGTTCACTCACTGGCTGAGCGTGGTGCTGACAACACCAAGCCAAGGGTTGAGATCCCCTTACCGGTCATCTTAAAAAAAAAAAAAAATTGGTTGCCCAGGCAGAAATACAGCATGTTCTCACTTATTTGTGGGAGCAATAAATAAACAAACAAACAAACAAACGGGGGTGGGGGGAGAAAATGATCCATTAAAATAATCAAAAAGGTCTGTTGTAAAAAATATATATAAATAAAATAAAAATCGGTTGGAGGAGTTGTAGATAAAATGGGTATTGCAGTACGTATGGGAAGGGGGTATACCCCAATGAATAAGCTAATCTTTAGAAATTTCTCAGGTTTCTGTAGCCACGTCCACTTCCTGCGACAAAGGTAACAGGATCATGGTAGATGAATTGGAGTCTTCCTCCAGGATATTAGCTTTGAGAATAAGCCGCAGTTTGTTCTCTGCATGTGGCAGGACCATAGCCAGTGAATGTCTGAACTGTGAGACAGCTCTTTTACTGGTGTGCTGGGCTCAGCTCCTGTGGACTTTGGAGCACTGGTTTCAAAATGTTCAGGAATTGTGGGAGCCAGTTGTTAAACATGGTCATTATTAAAAATTAAATTATATAAACTTAAAGTATATATAAATAAAGTAGATGTTCAAAACTCATCACTTTCTCATTTTTACTACCCTTTACTGTTATCTATGCTGTTGACTTTATTTATTGTCTACTGTATCCGAATGTAGGAATTAACTATATATAATGTTGTGCTACTGCACATTGATTACAAACTCCGTGTTAATGATGTCATGCTGGTAGCTTGAAATCAGCTGTAATACTAGTATTACAATAATAAGAGTATACCACAGAAATGGAATTAACTATATATAATGTTGTGCTACTGCACATTGATTACAAACTCCGTGTTAATGATGTTATGCTGGTAGCTTGAAATCAGCTGTAATACTAGTATTACAATAATAAGAGTATACCACAGAAATCGGAAGACCTTACAAATCATGGCTTTTCTCCCAGAGAGCTACTTATTAAATATTTACCATCATCGTACTGACTATATTTCACCAAAGGGATGGAGAAGGGGCAGAGTTTTCCTGACTGATGTGGCCCCAGAACTCATTTTTCATGGTTTTTTTCAATGAACTAGTTAGTATTCCTCAGAGTAAACCTGGGAAATGCTATAATAAAGTATTATCAGTAATACATAATCTATTAATGACTTGTAAAGAGAGCTTTCTCTTTTTCAATACAGATGAAACCTGAAAGATTTTTATTGGAGTAGTGGCAAATGGTGTGAAAAGGATATTTCTGGAGAGTATAGATGTTTGTGATATCTGAAAGAACAGCTGCCCATCATGGACCAAGTGCTCCTTGTGTGTAGTATAAACTCTAAAGACTGAGGGTGAAGGGGTGGGATGCCAAAGAATGTTTCATTTGGTCCAGTGCTTTTTTATACCATCTTTCCATGCAGAATTCCCACGTCTGCCATGAATACTGTTCTATTCTCCCTTAACAGAGGAGGACGTCTTTCTAAGTCACACTACAAAGCAGTTAATGTAAAACCAAAAAGTAGATTATCATTTTTAAATCTTGAGGAAATTGAGGAAGATGATTATGGTTGTGGTTAGAGGGGAATTCAGTGTTCTGTTATGTTCTATATATGGAAACATTCATATATTGTACAATTCAACCAGCATTTATTATGTACCTACTAGTACAGGCACCATGCTAGGCCCTACACCAATACTCCTCAAATCTAATGTTTTTCAATAACTTGGGGATCATGTGGCCATATAGATGTTGATTGAGCAGTTCTGAGGTCGGCCTGAGAGTCTTCACTTCTAGCGAGCTCCCAAATGAAGCCAAGATGCTTGTCTGAGGACCGCACGTTAAATAGCAAGATCCTAGAGAAAATACTAATAAAAATGAATTACCCTTAAGTTTTTTTTTTAAAAAAAGGTCCAAGGGTTTTTTTTGATGAACTTTATATCAGATTGATGAATTTTATATAATTGATGAACTTTATATCATTGATGAATTTTATATCAGATTGTTTTGTAAACGCCAATACATACCTCAAAATTTGCAAACTAAATAGTTTTCAAAGAACGAAACTAATATGAATCTATTTCCAATGACTGAGGTTATCTAAGTCTAGAAGTTATTCCCTGTAAGGGAATATCTGTCTACAAGTCCTCAAGAAGGCTTCTCTACCAGTTTCCAAAATCATTTAGGTTTTTATCTCAGTTTGAAAAGTGGTCAGCAGGACAGAATTCACTTACAGTGTTGCTCAAAAGGGAGCAGTTTATTTAAGGATAATCTTAGTGTGATGTTGGTGTTCCAGAAGGCTGTCCTTTCCTTTCGAAAGTCGCGAACTCACAAATCTTGCCCAGTCGAAATGCAACCACATCAGGCAGAACTAAGTGTCTTCAGCTGAGTTCAGAGCCATTAGCTGATGTGGGCTGGTTGCTTACTTCCTCATTCTAAAATTCACTGCCTCCCCAGACAGGGCTCTTCTCTTACTCATCTTGATATTCCCATACCTAGTATAGCATCTAGTGCACAACACGCACCGAATTAACATGAGCACAATGAACTAAATGGGTGGATGTGGAGATTCTGTGTTTGGTCATAATCAAGAAACCTGGAAACAAACCACTCTGTTTAACTTGTATGCAAATATGTTAACAGACAGGTGATATATTACTAAGATAGAAAGAAAAAACTCTGCTATTTAAAGTATAAACCCAATATTTGTTTTAAGAGAGAGAAGTAAGGAAAGTGAGTTTCTTTAGGTGTTGCCTGCATGGCAGAGAATGAAATAAAGACAACTTATTTAATAAAGGGGAAGGAATCCTGAGTTTTCTTCTCTGTCCCCAGGGAACTCGGGTAGAGTTGCCAAATTTAGAAAAAATATAGGATAGCCAGTAAAATTTGAATTTCAGATAAACAGGAATAGTTTTCTAGTATAAGTTTGCTCTATACAATATTTGGGACACACTTGCATTGGACACTTTGGAACTCTAGTCTGAAGAGAGAGGTGAAGAATTTCAAAGAGTAGGAAAAGGCTTCACAGTCTGAGTTGTGGAGTAAGGACTTGTGATGGTTCTGGAACCTGAGAAGATGTTGGGTGAGAAGGTAGTCAGTGAAAAGTTTGCAGTAACAGGAGGTACGGGGAAAAGGAGTTTTTAGTGGGTGCTGTTTTCTCCCAAACCTTTAGTAAAACCTTCCTCCGTACACTGCTGTTGGGAATGGAGGACTGAGCTGAGGTCAGAATGGTGGATGAGGAAGGACTCATGGTTCCATAGTTTCTGAGCTGCGAGTGTCAGAGGTGATGTAGTGGATGACAGCAGAGAAGCAGTTGCTGAGCACCCTGGCTTAGAAGCGGCTATGAGACAGCCCCCTTCCCCAGGCTTACACCAGAAGGTGCTACTTTAAAGGGGAAGATGCTCCACAGGGCTACGTATGGAGGCAGGAAAAGGGCAGCAAGAGAGCAAGAATTGTGTTTCTCCAAACAGCCTTTCAGCTACCCATTACTGCCTTGTATTATTTTTCTTTCTCATGGATACTAGGATTTTTTTCTGCCAAGAAGATAAAGATAATGCATATCTCTTATTTGCCCTATTCCAAACTTATTTATAATACTAGTTTATTACTTAATTGGCTGATTATTATGAGACTTCGCATTATTCTCTTTTTATGTAATTTAGAATTGCAGATGTTAACAACTGAAGAAAATTGTCATATAAAAAATTTCCAACTTCTGGAAACCTTGTGTCATATTTATCCAAGGAGTCTGTTTTCCCCCTAAAGTGAAACATTTAATTCACCTTGTCTTGCCTTTTAATGGTGGGTTCTGAGCTCCCTCTAGCGAGGAATGTGTTACTTACAGAAGGATTGTGTCAAGTCTTTTGGAAATTGCCCCCTTTCTTGTTATACAGTTATGTTTTTATCCTTATTATAAGCAATGGATATATAT